AGATAGATCAGTTAACCCATTAAGCGCCGGCACTCACCCCTTGACGAGTAAAATCGTCTGGCGTTAGACAGAGTAAAATACTGTTCAAAGTAGGGTGCATCAGGGTGCAATGCGACTCAATGGGTTAATATAGTACATAACATAGGTCATAGACATACAGTTTCAATACAATACAAAATGATTTGGAACAACGTCAAGGTCAATGAAATCATACAAAATGAATTTATGGAATATCAATTAAATGTATTTAAAACAAACATAATTTCAACATCCCAATAAGCAATAACATCCCAGTAAGTATAAATTCAACTATTTTAAATCAATTGTTTGAATAGCCAAAGTAAAAGTTGTACAAGTGACAAAATCATTCAATAATATTCACATTTTATCATTTATATTATGTGTCAACTATCAAAGTCGCACTGTTAAGTATATTAAAATACACTTTTCATAAGATTAGATGTAAGATATAATTGTACGAAGGTAACTGAGGAACGACGATGTGTAAGACAATAAATCATACATACAGTGAAAAACGCTCTTTTTGTAGCACATCCTACATGTACATATCGGCAGCATTTTCCTTGCGATAGTAACTCCTAGTATATGTGACTTGTTTAATTCACACGCTCTTTTTATATACAAAAGTGCATAAAATATATAAAAATAAAAAATAAAAATAGTATTTTTCTATATAATATAAAATTTATATATATATATATATATATATATATATATATATATATATATATATATATATATATATATATATATATATATATATATATATATATATATTTAAACACACGTAAAAAATACGATATTTTTACGTGTGAAAATATCATTTCTTGTAAAACGCATTGGCACGGACGTTTTATTGTTTTTCACTGAATTTTGTTTATATAATAAACAGAAAAATACATGGGTGCTTGGAAATACCAGATTTATTTCTCGTGTTGAACATGATATGTTCAACACTCGAAATAAATCTGGTATTTCCGCGCACCCATGTATTATTCTCTCTCTCTCTCTCTCTCTCTCTCTC